GTGGGCGCGCGACCAGCCGAGGCCCGGGCTCTGGGAAGCGTGAGCCACGCACGCGCGTCGCGGCGCAAGTCGAAGGGGGGCAAGTCAGAGCAGGTGCGATTTCTTCTTTAGACGGGCGCTCTTTAGGTGAGGATTTCCCCACCTAAACGAGTGTAAGTGCCATTATTTTAAAATCAATATTAACTGTATATGCACATAGCTATATCTGTGTGTGTGTGTGTGTGTGTGTGTATATATATATATTATTATTAACAAACACTGACTTTATAATCAAAGTGTGCACACATTTTGGGGGACACACCTGTATTTCCTTTTCCAGCAACTGATTTCATTATTTTCATAATTCTCACAGTCAAAACTAAAATCTCTCTTTTTCTACAATTCAAAAGTAGGCTTGACACCAAAGGAAAATCTAAGATATAATCTGTATCTGTTTCCAATTTCTGGGAGAAAGTGAGTCACAGCCTACTCCTTTATTTTCCAAAATTGCTCACCTACATAATTTTGAACTTCCTGAAGACCTCTCAGAGAAGACAAAAGGGAGAGCAAGAAAGATATCCCTTTTATATTTCCAAAGCCACTCACAAGTTTTACCTTATTTTTCCTCTAAGATATTTTAAAACTGCTTTTACTGCAACCTTCTTGTCCACGTATTTGGAAATGAATTTCATTATACCTGTGATGAGTGATGCTTCTTGTATGAAGAACAACAACCAGCTCATAGCAATGTCATCATTGTAGTAGCCAACATTTATTGTGGTAAATGTGTTAAGTACTTTATGTATATAACGTAAACCTCACAGCAACCTAATGATGATTATAATTTACAATTCCATATTTTATATAAAAATGGAGATTTAGAGAGGTTAAGCTTTTTGCCCTGAGTTACAGAACAGTAAGTGACAGTTTTTTACCCTGGCATTCTGAATTAACACATTTTATTGGATCACAATAACGGTAAAAAAAGAGTAAGAGTCATAATTTATTTGTTTTTATAGAGAGTATTACAAAATATTCCATTCATTGACTTTCTAAAAACACAAACTGGGTTGAGAGAAATGGAAAAACAGAAAAGTGTGGGAAATCTTTGCCTCCTTCACCACAACTGGAGCCAGAGGGCCCCCAGGGCCAAGAGGCAGTCCCTGTTCCCTGCTTCCCCAGCTAACTGGGTCCAGAAAGCTGCAAGCTGAAAGCATGAAGAGACATGTGTGTCTAAGGATGTTAAAAAGCATACTGTAAATTAGTGTCTGAGAAAAATACAATAAATAAAATGTTAATAAGGAATATTATGTAAATAAGATGACAAGAATTTAGGAAATAATTGTCAGAAACTGACAGTGCTGAGATTTTGCCCTGCTTTCAAATTATTAACAGGTTAGCTTGCCAGTTTCATGGATGCTGGTGGACGAGATGAGACCCCTGGGTGACAATTTATTACTCGCAGTACATCAAGCTGCATGAGTACCAGCATATTTGCATCAGTTCCATTGTTAAACATGAAGTTATTGGAGGTTCTAAATACGAAAGAAAGGGCATAAAGGAGCGTGATCAGCTTATCCACGACAGTTTGGGGAGTAAGCTTTGCATAGAAACCCTCAACAGAGGCCAAAGGTAGTTTGTACGTCTTCTAAGTTAAAGAGTATTGATAAAACCAGTAGAGATTTGGGGCTGAAGCCTACGTTTTTTATCTTGTCGCACTAAGCACCCACCATCTGGGGCTGTAACAGGGATAGTCTCTGACATAGACACGATTAGACAGGAAAGAACTCCCTGTTAACCATCTTTCAGGGCAGCAAATGGTATGTTTAAGGCCTAAAGTTTTTTATTCAGGGCGACAACATGACACTGACTAGGAAACCCCGAGTAGTCGTCCCAACAAGAACGCGGGAGTAGGTGGCAGCGCGGCGGCCCTTGGCTACGACAGAGGCGGCCAGAGGAGCACGGAAAGGTCGCTCGGAGGGCGCCCCGTTCTTGAGATGGGCACAGAATCCTTTTCAGGGGCCCTTTCGATGGACAGGATTCCGCACCAGGCGCCAAGGGCATACCGAGATTTTCAAAAGGGCCGCGCGAGGGACGGACCGCGGCAACTGCTAGACAGCGGCCATGCGAGTCTTGCAGCGCCGCCCGGAAGGGGGCGTCGCCGCCGAGGGATGACGTCAGACGGCGTCGCGCCGGGGGTGACGCGCGGCGCCGACTTCGGCGAACTGCGCCTGTCACTCCCGGGTTCGCTGCGGCCGGCGAGCGGGCGCCATGGCGGTTCTGCTGGAGACCACTCTGGGCGACGTCGTCATCGACCTGTACACGGAGGAGCGGCCGCGCGGTGAGCCCCGCACGCTCCCCTCGCGCCCGGCTCCACTGTCACTTAGCCGCCAGGTCCCCGACGTGCACGGGTTCGAGCGTCTGGGCTGTGGGACCGGGCTCTTATTCGCGGGCCTTGGTTAGAAAAGTTTTCGTGAGGAGCAGCAGCGCATCTCCCGCACCTGGTGCTGGCCCGTCGGGTGGCGGGTGCTTGTGGTCATTAAGTGCGTGTGTGCGGGTGTGTAGGGGGGCATATGCCGTGCCCACAGAGCTGTAGGGGCTTTCCTGCGCTTTGCTGGTGACAGGGGCACAGCAAAGCTCCGTGGCGTGTAATCTAAGTCTGGGTGAAACGGAGCGTGCGCTCGGCCGCTGAGCGTGGGCATCCCGCCTGGGTGCGGGAAGGGCGGTCGGAGGTGTGCGCGGAGCCTTCGCGGACGCTCATGGACCGCCTGCCAGGCTAGGCTTTGCCGGGCCCTGGGTGGCCACCTTGCCGTGAGCGCCTCACTCTCCACTGGGGGGAATCTGCGCTGCACCCACTTAACTTTTTAAGTGTCGTCGAGGAAGAATGTGTGAGCTTCTGTGGAAACCAGAGGAGGGAGTAATCCTTCCCGGTTGGGGGCGGGGAGAAGAGAAGCGGGCAAAGAATGCGGAACCCTGCAGCTAGCTCTTCAGAGACGAGTGGAGGTGAGGGTCTTCTTTGAATTAGTTTGGCATTTTCTGGAAACCGCGAGTAGGCCGGAGTGGCTTGAAGGGATGGTGTGCGGCATGGAGCGGAGACTGCGGGTCTGGTGGTATAGGGTAGGTCGTGAATGGTTTTGTGCGCCCTACTGATGACCAGCGTTTTTATAGGTTTTAAAACCAGGATTCGAAGCATGGCGGACTTGTTCGAGGCAGCCAATAGGCAGCAGCGTGGAGAATGTATCAGAATAGTGTCAAGCTGGAGGCGGGAGAGGATCCTTTCAATCGGGGTCCCGCCCCCTTGGAGCGCAGAGTTTACCAAAGCGGATGGAACCGGCCACCGTACTTTACAATGAGTGCCTCCTATTACACCTCCCACACTCAGCCATCTCCCCCACCCCGCCACGTATACCCACGCCCATCTCGTCCCGCTGCCTCTACCCCACCTCTCTCTCCACTGTCGTCCTTTTGGCAGACTTCCCGGTTATTCTTTAAATCTCAGGTCATGATCTCTACTGTGCCTCTCCGTTGCCCCGAAGCAGAGTTAGATCTGTTTCTTTTGCTCTGTCTCAGGTCTTTTATAAATCACACAACGTATTTTGTTGAAGCAGTTATCAGTTGTCCTGGAATTATTTGCAAATCTTGTGTCCTCTAAGAATATAAACTCCAGGAGAGCAAGGACTGTGCCTTAATAATCTATCGCAATATCCTGAGCACCTTGACACTTTGAAGGGTACACACAGAAAGTTCATTATATTGACTAATCCATGTATGTGTGTTGTATTAGGACTTTTTTTGCAAGTGATAGAAACTCAACTCAAACTGGCTGAAAGAAAATAATTGATTGTCTCAGGTTACTGGAGTAAGCTTGGCTATTCAGGATGGCGGGATCTAGGGGTTTGAAGGATGATGTTATAGGAAATTGTATTTTTCACCTTTTGGTTTTGCTTTCCTTTGAGTGTGTTTGCCACTCTTCATGTGGCGCAGCACCTGGCAAATGAGTGAGCCTCTTTCCCCAGAGATGTGAGGAACTAAATGGGAGATAGAGTTACCCCACCTAATTAACACATAGAACAGACATACATGGGTTCTGCAAAGATACCTTGGAACGTTAAAAACATATTGCCCACCCTGTTTGTATTTTTTGTAAGCATGTGATTGGATGTCTACTTATATGTATAACTACTTATCAATCCATAGTAAACATATCCAGATTTATTTTCCTTCCTCCTATCCCTTCTTTTTCCTGCCTTTTTAACTTTTTATTATAGAAAACTTAAGACATGTACAGAAGCAGAATCATGTAAATGAACCCTCATGTGCAGATGACCAGCTTCATTTAACAGTTGTCAATACATAACCAATATTGTTTCATTTATACCTCCACCTCCACTGGATTTTTTATAATAAATCCTTAATATGGATTTATTTAATCTGTAATTACTTCAATTTGTATCTTAAGAGGTTCTTTTCAAAAAAGACTACATAACCGCAAATCATCACATCTGAAAAAATCAGCAAATTTCCTTAGTATCCTTCAGATTTTCCTGAAGTCTCATAAACATTTAAAAAATATTTGGTAATTTAAATTAGGATCCAAACAAGGGCCATATGGAATTATATTGTTTGATATATCTCTTAAATCTCTTAATCTATAGGTTCTCCTTCCTTTTTAAAAATTAAGACTTTTTTAGAGCAGTTTAAGGTTTGTAGCAAAACTGAGGGGAAGATACGGAGATTTCCCATATACCCTCTGGCCCCACACATGCATCGCCTCCCCTAATTGTCAGGGTTCCCCACCAGAGTCGTACATCTTTTATACATTTATTTGTACCAGGTAGCATTATACATGTTGTACATGCTGTTCTCTGCCAATCCAGTTCTTTTAAAAGCCTCCACAAGGTCTTCTAATTTCTCTAGCTAGAAACAATCTCTCTTTGAACTCTTGTGGCATTTAATCATTTTGCTACTTAAGTGGCAGAAATGGTATTTTCAGATCTGGCCAGTGTTGTAAATAAATTTTTTTCTCTTATTTTTTTTTCTTCAGCCTGCTTGAATTTCCTGAAGCTGTGCAAAATAAAATATTACAATTATTGCCTTATTCACAATGTACAGGTGAGTTGGTGGATATTAGTCATGTCCTTTGTTATTGGATCCATCTAGCAAATTCTGTGAATTAATAGAGTATCCAATATATTATAGAGGGATTTCATCATACAAACTGGTGATCCTACAGGGACTGGCCGTGGAGGAGAGTCTGTTTTTGGGTAAGTTCTTTTATTTTTAAATGAGTAAAAATAGAATTGCCTCTTTACAGTGTTAAGCATATTTCAATCTGCATTTTAAATATGGCTCAAATTGGAGTTTTTCCAAGTTCCCTGAGTGTCTGTAGCATGAGAGGAATATTTTGAATCATACTGGTATTTCTGTAAAGAAATGGTAACATAATGGTATGTTACTAGTACTTCTATATTTCATGTTGAGAATACTTATGTTTCATTACCTTATCGTATATATTTTCAGTCAGCTGTACGGTGATCAAGCAAGGTTTTTCGATGCAGAAAAAGTGCCAAGAATTAAGCACAAGAAGAAAGGCTCTGTGTCCATGGTGAATAATGGCAGTGACCAGCATGGATCCCAGGTTAGGAAGTGGGTGGGAAGACAAAGTTATCTTTTAGAATTATCCAGGAAGGAGAACGTTTCAATCAAAGATATTTGTTAAAAGGAAAAATATTATACTCTTTCTTCTATGTAACAAAAACTACATGACATCACTTTTAAAAAAAGAAAAATATTTTGTTGTTCTAAATGTAAGGCATGTCCCAAGTGTCATGTGATCTTACTCATGTGTGGCATCTAATGAACAAAATAAATCTGAATNTAGAAACAGAGAGAGAAACATAAGCATAAGGAAATAAAATGCCAATAGATAAGGACCTATCAATAATAACCTTACATATAAATGCATTAAATGCTCCAATCAAAGGCGTAGGGTAGCTGAATGGATAAGAGAACAAGACCCAAATACATGCTGTCTGCAAGAGACCCACCTCAGAACAAAAGACTCTGCAGGCTGGAAAAACACACAAACTTCTGGAGGCCTTTAAAGGAGATATCGTCAGCAATACAGTCATCGTAGGGACTTTAATGCCCCAATGACTTTACTGGATAGATCTTCCTGACAAAAAACAAGGAAACAGTGACTCTAAATGACACACTAGATCAGATGGATTTAATTGACATTTACAGAACATTTCACTCCAAAGCTGCAGAATATGCATTCTTCTCAGGTGCACATGGGACAAAGATAGACCACATGTTAGGACAGAAAACAAGTCTCTACAAGTTCAAGAAGACTGAAATCATATCAAGCATCTTCACGGACGTTTACACTGTGGAATACTATGCAGCTGTGAAAAAGAAGGACTCTTACCCTTTGGGACAGCATAGTGGGACCTGGAGACTATTATGCTGAGTGAAATAAGCCAGTGAGAGAAAGACAAGTATCACATGATATCACTCACCTGGAACGTAATGAGCAAAACAAACCAATGAACAAAATAGATCCAGAGAAACAGAAGCACAGGACAGACTAAGGAATCTCAGAGAGGAGCCACAGGTGGGTGGGTGGGGAGAGATTAACATAAGAATTTATGTGCATAACCCATGGACACAGGCAATAGTGTAGAGAAAGCCTGGGGGGACCAATGGGGAAAAAGGGGGACATTTGTAATACTTTCAACGATAAAGATAAATTTAAAAAAAGAATAAATGTAAGGCATGCCCATTGTGAATAATCTAGAAAACATTGAGAAGTACAAAGAAGAAAATAACATTACCCCCAATCCCACCATTCATGGATCATCACTGTTCACATTGTGGCCTGTTTCCTTTCTGCATTTATTACTTATTTCAAAACAGGCCATGTTGAGCACTTTTCATTCATTGTCTGGTTGAAACCCCATTTGGGGTAGATGTTTTTTTTCCTCACAGTTTACATGTAAAGAAACTGAGTGTTGCTTCATCCAACTATCTTAAACAATCGGGAACATTTGTGTATGTGTTGACATTTTATGTATAAATTTGTACTTTTTACTTAGTACTAGTAACAAGTGAGTAAGATTCCATGCAGTTAATGTAGAATCTTACTTTGTGTATTTTTTGTCAGTCTGTAACTAATTTCAGTTTGAATTGTATATATCTATGTATTTGTGTTCTGCGTTTTTCTTTATAGTTTCTTATTACTACAGGAGATAATCTAGATTACCTTGATGGTGTTCATACAGTGTTTGGTGAGGTGACAGAAGGCATGGACATAATTAAGAAAATCAATGAGACCTTTGTTGACAAGGATTTTGTACCATATCAAGATATCAGGTATGGTTACAATTTACTACCTGAATGTACTGGAATATTTTAATACTGTAGTGTTTGACATGGTAGTGGTGATGGCATGTGTAAAACTGTTTTTTGGATACTTCTAAAAGTATCTTGGATACTTCCAAGACTAAGATTCTTTGTTTTTACACTTTTATGTTTTTACACTTGTACTAATTATTTATAATTGCTTATGTTGGAAGGAATTATTAAGCCTTTAATTTAGTATTTTTAAAAGTGCAGATTATTGAGAACTATGGCAAAAGTACTAAGAATCAGACAGAGTAATAAGTATAATATCAATCAAAAACAGTAACAGTAATTGTGACAGTGTACTCTAGTAACATCCTTGTGCAACAAAATTTAGGAGCTTATGGTTATTTGGCTGTAGGGATACATAAGACATTTGTTATAACATTTAAAACGTAGATTCTGAAACAATGTAAATGTAACATTTGACATGGATTTATTTTGCAAGGATTAATCATACAGTGATTTTAGATGATCCATTTGATGACCCTCCGGATTTATTAATTCCTGATCGATCACCAGAGCCTACTAGGGAACAACTAGATGTAAGTTGAGTCTTCTTGTGACAGAACATACACGCGTATTAATGCTCTGCATCGCTTTTACTTTTAGTCTATTAAAATTTATTTTTTCAGAATCACTATCTTGCTTGAGCACTTTAGGATAAGTTTAGAGTGCTTTTTATTTTCTATGGATATATTCCTTTTTCTAGCTATTTCCCATCTTAATATCTTTTCTTCAATTTGTGTTTTACCAGAAGAGCCTTAGCTCTGGAAGTTTATATGATTACTTTGGGAAAATGTTTTTCTGTCTCCTAAATCTAAAATTTTAAGAATTTTAGACTAAATTAAACTATCATCTTTTAAGGGAATTTTTCAGCTGGGGGTACTCTGAAGCCAGGCTAGAACCCAGAAATTTCTGTGGAATAATGCAGACTTTTTCCTCAGATATTTTAAAGCATAAATATCTGCTCATGAGACTTCCTTAAAGCCAGATTTATCTTTGTAATTAGGTTTGGTGCTTAATTTCTAAGATCATTTATCTTCTGCATTCAACACTTGGTTAGAAACTTTTTAAATAGTTTCTATATAAGTGTTTATTTTGATTTAACAATAAATTAGAAGACTAGTCTGGCTAATATTCTACAATTAATTTAAATCAATTTTCAGAGGTAAGTTTCACATATGTGAAACATGTGAAGGTATTCTATTCTAACACGTTTGGTGGAACTAAGAATAAAGCACAGTGTCCCATATTTTTCAGATTTTTCTGTTTTTTAAATACTGTATATACATGAGTAACTTCTGCCTTACAGAGTGGTCGAATCGGAGCAGATGAGGAAATTGATGATTTCAAAGGAAGATCAGCTGAAGAAGTAGAAGAAATAAAAGCAGAAAAAGAGGCCAAAACTCAAGCTATTTTATTAGAAATGGTAAGTAATTCTCTTTGTTCAAATAGTTGTTCGCAATATATTGAATACATACTTACTATTAGTTTATCTATTTCTGGCTTTTTGATAGTCTTAAAATATAAAAATTTAGCTAAGTGTTTTTTTTTTCTGGATTAAATTTTGTTTGACATAATAACACGTAAAAGTAAACAAGTTTGATTCCACTATTAATATATTGCCCAGTGCCTTTTTTAAAACATGGGGAATGGATATCTAGCCTACAAATATTTAGTGGATTTCAGTTGTCATACTCATCATTTTTAAAGAATGTTTCTTGGACTCAATTTTATGCATAATTATGAGTAATTTCTTTGTACAACTCAAGTATTGAAATTAAATCGTAGAATAGCAGCTACAGGACAGAATAAGCCGGGGTAGAACTGAGTGCCTACAACATGCTCCTCCTCTGTATCACTAACAGTTTGGAGTCGTTTGGGGAACAGTCATTCAGTAGATGATTAGTTGACCTGCTGGGCATTTTTCCCATTTCTTATTTTTGTGGACTAGGTATACCTTTTAGGTCATCAATAAATATTTGAATGGATGGATGGATGATAATTAAGTTTTATTATTATTTTATATAGTGGAGTTTTCAGAATCATAGCCTGTTTTGTTTGTTTGTTTGTTTGGTCTTAATCCTTACCCAAGAATATTTTTTATTAATTTTTAGAGAGAGAGAGTGAGAGAGAAAAACATCAATGTGAGACAAACATCGATTGGTTGCCTCCGGTACTCGCCCTGACCGGGGATCGAACCTGAAACCTTTAGGTGCATCTGATGACACTCCAGCCAACTAAGCCACCCGGCCAGGGCTCACAGTCTGTTTAAATTCATATTAGCATAACCAGTCTGAAGAAATAAATGTTAGACTATAGTTCAGTAATACTTTACTGAATTAAAAAAAAATTGAAAATATGCATTTTATTTATTTTTAAATATATCTTTATTGATTTCAGAGAGAGGAAAGGAGAGGGAGAGAGAGAGAGAGATAGAGTCATTGATCGACTGCCTCCTGCACGCCCCTGACTGGGGATCTAGCCCGCAACCTGGGCATGTGCCCTGACGGAATCGAACCCCTATCGCCTGGATCCTCGGTCGATGCTCAACTGCTGAGCCATACCTGGCCAGGCGAAAATACATATTTTAATGAGCACGCTGTGTATCAGAGAACATTGACCCAGAACAATCCACACCAAAACAAATTATAAGAAAGTTACTGGACTTAAAAGAAAAATCCTTTGAGCAACAACTGGGCAGCAAGAGTGAGTGGCGTACAAGGGAAAGAATATTAGATTATCATCAGAGTTTTCCACAACAAAAATATAAAAAGTTCATGCCTGAAGAAAATGGGTTAATGTGTTTTTAAAAGTTTTTATTTGCAGATAATTTTAAATTTATGGAAAACTTAAAAAAATAGTACAGAGAGCTTCTATATACCTTTTACCCCAACTTACCAGTTTTTAATTTTGCCACATCTTGATCATTCTTTTTCCTCTCGCTCTCCTCTCTCTCCTCTCGTTCCTTCTGCCCTCCTTCCCTGTCTTACCTGATTATACATGTACATGCACTTACTATTTTGTCTGGACCATTTGAAATTAAATTGCAAACATCATTCCTCTTTACCGCCTGCATCATTATGTATTTCCTAAGAGCAACAGTATTTACTTACAATTATTGAAATCAGGAAATTAAAAATCATAGAAATTGCAGTTCATACTCCAATTTTGTCAGTTACTTCTATAATATCCTTTATAGCCCCCCTACCCCCAGCCCACTCTAGAATCCAGCTTTGCAGGCCTGTCAAACCCAGAAGGGTGATGCATATCTGTGTGTTTAATGGGGTGCATCAGTGGAAAAACAAAGATTTGCCTTTGTGGAACTTATATATTAGTGTATAACACATTATTAACTAAAGTCCATAATTTATATTAGGATTAACTCTCTGTGTTGTACATTCTATGGATTCTATCAGATGCCATGTATCCACCATTCCAGTATCACACAGAATAGTTTCATTACTCCCCAGATCATCTGTGTTCCGCTTCTTCATTCCTGCCTCCCTGCAACCCTTGGCCTCCACCGATCTTTTTTTACTGTCTGCATAGCTTTTGCCTTTTTCAGAATGTCATACAATTGGAATCATTTCAGACGGGCTTCTTTCGTTTAGCAGTATGCATTTAAGGTTCTTCCATGTCTTTGGGTGGCTTGATAACTCATTTCTTTTGATTGTTATATAGCATTCTATCTCTTTTGATTGTTAAGTAATGTACCACAGTTTGTTTATCCATTCACCTATTAAAATACTGGTTGCTTCTAAGTTTTGGCAAGTCTGAATAAATCTACATTTGTGTGTAGATTTTTGTGTGGACATAAGTTTTTAACTCATTTGGATAAATACCTAGGAGCACAATTGCTGGATTGTATGGTGTAGCTTTGTAGGAAACTGCCAACTTGTCTTCCAAAGTGGCTGTACCATTTTGTATTCCTGTTAGCAATGAATGAGAGTTCCTGTTGCTCTACAGCCATCCTTTCCAGCATGTGGTGGTGTCAGTGTTTTGGATTTTAACCATACTAACAGATGATCCTGTCTCCTTTTTGGCCTTACTGTTAAAAGGTTTCATCTTCCATTTTCTAAGAACATTAGTTTCTCTTACTTCATTTGTGCGTAATATAATGATGATTCAACCAGTGTTTTGAACTTCGTAACTGTTAAGAGTATTTTAAATTTCCTTGTTATCTTTGACAAGTAGTCTAGTGAGTTCTTTTCTAACTCACTAACCTTTCTTATTTTGCTTCAGTGAGACGTGGTATTTCTGCCATTGTAGGTGCCTTTGGGGGATTTTACTGATTTGCTCTGCCCCATATGTGCTGTGATACTTCTTATTGGGCGTAGATTATTGTTGTCTTTGAGAGGCTTCAGAAACACTGAGCAGATCTTACTACCATTGTTTCTTTTTCTGATTTTCGAGATTTCTTTTTGTTTTAGCATGTCTATTGAAGAGGAGATACTTTATATGATAATCTTATCAGAAATCATCTCTGAGAATTTTTGAATAAAGGAATATCGTTTTTCCCCGACTAAAGGCCATGGGAAATACAGCTTTCCCACAATGAAACCAACACCATCGTGGCTTTCTCTCACTGTTCCCCTCACTGCTTCTTCATAGGAAGTGGTATGCTCTACTCAGGGCAGTGGTTTCCTGAAGTTGACTTCAGTGTGACTGAAGGAGAAGATGATAGTGAGCGTGAGATGATAGTGAAGGTGAGAATAAAAAGCCAGAGACACTATCCAGGAATTGTCGCTGTTCCATAGTGAACACTAATGTGGAAAGAATTGGTCATAACTAATAGCAGAAGGCTAAATTCAGTAAGATAATATTTTTCAAAAGTTTAAAAACAAGCAAAACTAAATAATATATTGCTTAGGAGTACATACTTACCTGGTAAAACTCTAAAGATGTGCAAGGGGATGGTCAAAAAGGAAAACCAAGAAGCAGGATATTCATTATTTCTGATGAGAAAGGCATAGGATAATGGGATTAGGATATTTTAGTTCTTAAGATAGTTGTCATCATGGCTGTTTTTTATTTTTATGCTTCGTAACTTAGATATACTTGACATAAATTCTGTTTTTAATATATCAAATAGGAAAAAAGAAAAAGTGAAGAGAAAACCCCAGGTAAACTTGGGTTCAAATCCTAACTCAGTTGCTTATTACAGTGTGGCTTTGGGCAAGTTAGTTATTTAACCTTTTTGAATTTCACTTTCACAAAGTGGATTATTGTTTTAGGCATTCTTTTAAGAATTGTCAGTAATGAATTTTGAGGTCTTATTTAGATGTCTTTTCCTGAGCCTGCAGTTTATAATGTAAATTTAGATGTTTTAGGGAAATCAGCATTTTGATTTGGATAGGGTATTTAGAATGGAAACTAAATAAAGGAATTGGTTTATATTTTTGTTTGCTTGTAATTTAGGTAGGAGACCTACCTGATGCAGATATTAAACCTCCGGAAAATGTGCTGTTTGTGTGTAAATTGAATCCAGTCACCACAGATGAGGATCTGGAGATAATATTCTCAAGATTTGGGCCAATAAGAAGGTAATCTCTAGAATTAGTGAAAGAATTTGGGAAAACTAGGTATTAATTTGTGGTTTTCTAATGACATATTTCTTTTTTATTTTAATCCTTACCCGAGGATATTTTTTCCATTGCTTTTCAGAGAGAGTTGAATGGAGAGAGAGAAACATCGATGTGAGAGACACATCGATCATTTGCCAAAGAGAAGTATTTTATAATTAATTAAAAAGTATTATTTTATGGCCCTGGCCAGGTGGCTCAGTTGGTTGGAGTATCATCTTGTACACTCAAATGTTGTGGGTTCGATCCCCAATCTGTCAGGGCGTATACAGGAGGCAGTGGATCGATGTTTCTCTCTCACATCACTGGCTCTCTCTACCCCCCTTTTCTCTCTCTAAAATCAACCTTTTTTTTTTTTTAAATATATCTTTATTGATTTCAGAGAGAGGAAAGGAGAGGGAGAGAGAGAGATAGAAACATCAATGATGAGAGAGTCATTGATTGGCTGCAGCCCGCAACCCGAGCATGTGCCCTGACCGGGAATCGAACCCTGATCGCCTGGATCCTAGGTCGACGCCCAACTGCTGAGCCACGCCCGGCCGGGCTCTCTAAAATCAACTTTTCAAAAAAGTATTATTTTATGTTTAGAATTTCATTTCATTTCATGTTTTTTTTTTATTTCCCTTGAAACCATTCTTGATTTTTCCTGTTAAAAGAAAAATCTTTCTGTAAAAGACTACCCAACTTTATTTCTTCACCCACTTACAATATATCATATTTATAAAAAATATTCCTATACCGCTTTTATTTTTCAATTTTAGACATTATATGCTGACTTCCTGCTAAGGAAGATAAGGATTTTACCTCTATTACTAACCTCCCATGTTCATTCTTTTCTCCTCCTGCTTTGGTTAGGTCATAACTTTGGTTATGTCGTTCAATATTTACATTTTAATGTATATGCAAATATTGTAGCAGCTGAACCATTTATTGTAATGTGATTACTTTTCCTTTTCTAACAGTGTTTTGTTTTCCTGTTTCATATAACGTAACATGAGTCTTAGGATATGTCAAGAAATGGTCAAGCCTGGTGGTTTCAGCTCCACCTTATTGGCTTTTTCACTTGGTTGTTAAGATGGATTAGTTCTGTAGAATAGCAGCTCTACTTGTGGGGTTAAATTTGAGCCTGGCTTATATTAAAATTCAGAAACTCCAAAGCATAAACTTACTAAATGTATACTATATGTGTGGGAACGTGCATACATTATCCTAACAGTAACATTAGATATTTTATCATTTATGTACATTTGGGGACTAGAATTTTGATTTAAAAAAATTTTAGCAGTAGTTTACTTTTGCCACAGGAAAATTGAACAATAAATAAACTAAACAATAAATATTATTTATTTTTCCTTCAGTGCTTTGGGAATTTAGGACTGTAGGCCTATATGGGGCATTTAGAGTAGAATTAGATAATGTGATTTCTAGACTGGTGAACTATTTTTTGAAAAAAACTTATAATTTTTGAGTGTATATTTCAGAAAACACGTGAATGCTTTTTTTTTTTAAGTCACTTTTTCCAAACTTTCTTTCAGTTGTGAAGTTATTCGAGATTGGAAGACAGGAGAATCCCTCTGTTATGCTTTTATTGAATTTGAAAAGGTAGGTCAAAATATAGATCTATTAAGTTTGGTGTGGGTTTTTTGGTTCCTATAAGATTTTAAAATGAAAATTATAGAACTTTTTCTAGTCTTTAACATTAGAAAATTACTGTACCCTTTCTTTAGGCACCAAAGAAAAATAACTATTATATTCAAAATAGGTGATAAATTCAACATCTGTTAATGTTAATATGTACCTTTACATTATGTTCAGGTGCAGTCTGTATTCATGAATCTTTAAAACTTTTAAAGTTTTAGGTAAAGTCCTTCACATTCTGTAAATGATTTTTCAATGTTATTTAGGTATATATATATATATATATATATATATATAATAAAGAGAACTGGACTGGGTGTTAATTTTTAGATATTAATCCGAGCTTTGTCACTGACCAGCTGTTATATGACACTTGGCAGTTTAGAACTCTTCTTTCTAAGTGTTAACTTCCTTATAAATAAAACTTGAGTATTAGGTTAGATATGGTGCCTTCTAGGTCTAAAATAATAATGATAACTTATGTTACTCAAATAACTTTCTTTAAGCCAGGCATTATGCTACTTGACATGCATTTAATCTTCACAGCTCTATGAGATAGGTACTGTCCACCTTTTCCAAATAAGTAAACTGAGACACATAATGGTAACGTGACTTATTCAAAATCATGTCATACCTGGGATGTGAACTTACATGTCTGAACTCATGTAAGTTCACATTGCTTTTTGCCACTGTGCTAGGTTATACTATTTCTTGATGCAGCTTTGGACTGATGTGTGTCTAATAGTAGGTCATTCTAAGTTATAGTTATTCCAAAGCAGTTATTAAACTCCTGTTATATTACATGTGATAAGTCCTAGGACTACAAGATGAATAATGGAAAGTTGAGAGACAGACACCTAACCAATTTTACACAGATACTGTCAGGTGTACCAGAAATGGTATCTACAAGGTACATTGGTGCTAGCAGAAAGGAGATCTCTGCCTTTGGTTTGCTATGAATACTTCTTATAGACCTGACAATGTCATTCCATCATTGATGCTATAGTATATATTACTTATTTGCTCACAAATAGAATTTCATTTCATTTATAGCACATAGACTATTGCCTGCCTATGTTTCTCAGTCTTCTGCAGGTATACTATTTTCCATGAATATATAGTTCAGTTCAACTTTATAGACTGTGCATTGTTTATCAAGATTCAGCATTTCAGTTTTTGAGGTGGATCTTTTGTGACCTTTATCATTTCTTGAAAATCAGATTAAACTGCATCATTCTGCTTCATAATTCTCACGGCCAGTAGGCTCTTTGTAAGTGTTCATTTAATTTACAGCAAGTTCTGTATGTTTTGGATAATCTGATCTCAACAGTATTTAAACTGGAGAGTGAAATACATACATAAAATGTATAGCTCATGAGCATACAGCTTGATGAGTTACTATAGTTAATACACCCATGTGTACAGTCACCCAGGCCAAGAAATAAAACATTAGCAGAAAAAAGTTATCAGGATCCCAGAAGCCCTCTTTGTGTCCCCTTCCGGTAACTTCCCCATCACTGCTACTTCTGACATCGTAGATTGATTTTGTCTAATTTTAAACTTGATATAAATGTCAACATGTGTGTGTATTTTTGTATTTAGCTTCATTTGCTCAGTGTTACATTTGTAATATTTATGTATGTTACTGCATGTAGCTTCTGTTAACTTTTTGGTTAATTTTCATTGACATGGTATTTCATTGTAATAATTCTGTGTGTGTGTGTGTGCGCGCGCGCGTGCGCGCACGATTAAATTATATAATACTCCTCTGGGTCAGCATTTATAATCTATCACAAAAATATTTCTTCATTGAGACAAATGAATAGTCATCCTAAGTGGGCTAACTTAAGGCCATGGCCTCCCATTAGGTCAGGTTTTGCTGTCAAGTGGATTTTATTACCAAATTTTTTAAAACTTAATTTTCAGGGTATTTATGGGTTTTGACTAAAAGGGATTGTGGACTTGTATAAGATAATTGGTAAGTATATACATATGTCCATTACAGTCAGACTGCCTGGGTTCAAATCTTGGCCTCACCCTTACCAACTGTGTGACCTTTGGCAACTTCTGTACCTTTCTGAACTTCTCTTTTCCCTTTGAGAAAGTGTAAGATAAAAATAGATAGTACCTCCTACAGTTGTTATCAGAGTTAATTGAGGTAAGAGATGCAAAGCATTTAATAGCATTTGGTGCGTAGTAAGCACTCAAATCTTCGTTTTAGTAACAACAGACATTTTATATTTTCAGTATTCTAGCTGCAGAAATCTTTTTTTCATAAAGATTTATGCTTAAGTTTTTATAACTATTTTCAGGAAGAAGATTGTGAGAAAGCATTCTTCAAAATGGACAATGTACTTATAGATGACAGAAGAATACATGTGGATTTTAGCCAGTCTGTTGCAAAGGTTAAATGGAAAGGAAAAGGTATATTAGTTTATTTCTTTATTTTTCTGTTCTGCTTCCCATGCTGTGTGTGTGCGCTTCTACGTGCACGTGTATCTTCTTTGATTTAGTGCTGTTAATTAGGAGAAATGCTCTTTGATAGACCTCCTGCCATATGTGGTTTTATATCACTGCTATTTAGAATCTAAGATAGAGGGGTGCATGTGTATGAATGTGTATATGTGTATTTTAAACTGATGATTAATATATTTTCTATTTAAAAAAATATTTTTCTTCTATGTTTGACTATATTATAAATCACTTATAATTACCCACTGCAGACATGACATTTTTCCAAAGTAATTATTATGACATTTGTGGTGGTTTGGTTCTTCTAGATGCAAAACTCTTACTATCTCTTGCCTAAAGTTTGTTTGTTTTAGTTATATGGTCCAAAATTGAAAATGTCCATGAAAATGTGGTGGAAAAAGTCTTTCTTCTACTCCTGCCCCTCATCTACCCAGTTTCCTTTTCCAGAGGTAACCACTGTTACCTGTTTCTTTTATAACCTTCCATGTACATTCTTTGAATATACATACATATATATACTTATTTTAAATTTAGAATTTCATTTCATGTCTTTCCCTTTATACATTTTATATACATAGTTTTATATATATATAATTTTCTCCTTTAAAACAGAAAAAATATATTTTCTCTCTATATATTGTTTTCTCTTTTAGGAGAGGAAAACACATATGTTGCAGGCTACTTGTACTGTTTCTGTACCATGTCTTTCATTTAACAATGTATCTAAGAGATCAGTTCATATAAAATGGCAACTTACTCCTTTCAGTCACTGCAGCAGTGTCCTGTCGATGTATGTCTTATAATTTACTGAACCAGTCCTATTAATGGGCAGTCAAGTTCTTAATCTTATTCTGTTATGTACTTTCTATTATCCCTCTACATAAATATGCACCACATTCCACATGTGTCTGTATGTGTATCTATGTATGTCAAATAAATTTGGCACGTCAGACTTTAGGTTGGATTTGTGGTATGCTGAAATTACATGGAGTTTTGATTTTTGATGTAGTGTTTTTAAAAGATTTCATTTTGACAAGTGGATAAAAAAGTTGTACATATAAAAGATTTCACTTTGGCAGTAATTTACCATGTAATGCTAGCTTTCACTAGGAAATCTCGGATTACTTTCTTCTCTATAACACCTTTTTCTTTATTTCCCATGATTTTTTTTTTTTATAAGAAAGAAATAGATAGTACTGGGACTATCTTGGGAGTGATGTGCTGGGAGTGATGTGCTGAATTGTTTGGTAGGTTGTGTTACCTTATGGGAGTTCGAGAAGGGTGAAATTATTAATGACGAATAGGCAAGGCAGACCCGATGGAAGCCATGCTCTCCATGGTAGGAGAGAGTGACTTGGATTGGGGTTCCCTGTACTGTTCGTTTCTTCCATGAATTCCATGAAGCCTTCCTACTACTAGAATACATGACTAGATTTTGACACTCCCATCTATTTTGAGTGATTTGTGAAAACTAAATTGAGTCACGAAGATGATGTGCTTTTTGCAGCTGTGTGAACAAAAAAATCAAATTAGTATATTCAAGTCCTGTTTTTCTGAAGGGGATTATTGTTGATTTCAGTTTTGACTCTCAGGAGGAATAGAGGTGCTCTTAAAGCAAAATTTCAAAGCAGAGACACCAACCCTCTCATCTCGCATCTCTTAGCAAACTTCTACACACGTCCTGCTGTCCCCTACCTGCTTGGTGCTCTGTTGAGATTTGAAGGCAGAGTCTCTTTTGACAGATGACAGGTCTTTAAAGCCTCACTTCTTCCAAACTTGTAAGCCTCTCAGTCTCAGACTTAAGTCCCAGACCCTTAGCTTCCTTTGGACCTAATGTTCTCATGGACAATAGTGGCTTTACTTAAACCCTACATTATTTTCCAGCGAATGTATGTGCTATGTCATTTAGGATTTGAACGTACGGTGTTGTAATGCTCACATATTTCATTAGATGGCAGCATATGGCTACCAGTTAAAATAGTATGAGAGTGAATTATTATGATTGTTTTGTTCTCTTTTCAGTCTTTTTCTATCCCCTGATATATATGCCACTTGTAAAATAGCTCTTATATGTTATACTTCTTCTATAGTAGTTTCTGTTCTTGATTAATTAGGGGATTTTTCTTATTAAGTTTTTTCTTTTTTTTAATAAAGGTGGAAAATATACCAAGAGTGATTTCAAGGAGTATGAAAAAGAACAGGATAAACCATCTAATTTGGTCCTGAAAGATAAAGTAAAGCCCAAACAGGAGTATCCTTCACAAGAAGCAGCAGTCAGTATGTGCTGACCATACACTCTGAATACTGTGTGATATGTTACAAAAAGTCATAAAGGCTGTAGAAAAAGTCCCTGGAGCCAGATGGTTTGTGAGGTCATTTAGTTTACATTTATCTCTTTTCACTGTCTTATATATACTTTGCTTTTTCAGTATATTCTCTTGTATATGGAGAAACTTCGGGTTGAAATAAATCTTTAGCCTACTTTTCCCTCCCTACTCTTAGATTAAAGTTAACACTTATTCTCAGAAGATCTTCAGGTAAGATTCGTATTTTCTGTATATAACTGTAGTGTTTTAAATTCCTCATAGTCAGAAATTTCCTCATTATAGCTAAGCTAAGTCCTCTGTGCTAACCTTCCTCGTATGTTTAGCTTTGGAGATGGTGAGTGTGTAGACAACAAAATCCTGTTGTTCTTTTATATAATTAGGTTGCTGCTTTTATATAATTAGGTTGGGCTTTTGTTGTGTGCAAGAGTTGACTTTTATAGGATTAAAGAAATCCGTTGACTTGACCATTTTATTTCAGTTTTTCCAAGTTTTGGGTTGAGACAAGAAGCAATGAAACATACTGTTCATATTATGTCATTTTAATTTTTTCATTGATGTTCTCATTATAAATCTATCACTTCATACATTGCAAAGCTTATTTCTTTTGTGATTCTTTCTGTAAATGGTTTCTTTGTTTTCTAGTTTCTGTTGGTGTTTTAGGGATTCTCTTTTCCTGTACTGTATATGGGACATTTCTTTTCCAAGTTGCCATCAAGGAAAGATGAATATCGGTTGACTTGATATGTACTCATTTTAAAACTGTGTTGATGGTCTGCAGTACATTGTAAGTAAGGGTTGGAGCTGGGTAAAGTCTGCAGTATACTGACATCAACATGAGGCGAGGCTTTCACTTGCAAACAGACCAAACAGTAAGCTAAGATTTAGTCTGAAAAGATGAACATTAGAGGGGATATGATTGAAATCTCAAAATCATAAAAGGTATGGACGGAATACACTTGAGATTTATTTATCAAATCTTTAAAATTAATGACAATTTATTTTAGGATAACTGCAGCTTGAAGAAGGGGAGTGTGTAGGACAAATAAAAGGAAGCACAGTTGTAGAGTATAAAGTAGGGGGCGTCTTTCTCCCAGAGAACTCTTTCAGTCTGAGAAGAAAGTTTGTAGTATCACAGTATTTTAGGTTCCAGGTGATGGATTACTAAGAGTGAAGAGAAGAAACTAGGCATGTTTGAGAATAAATCTCCTGCCAGTCCTGCCCAGTAGGACTTCCTGCAGTGATGGAAATCTGTATCCCCACTATCTCATGTAATTGCTAACCACATGGTTATTGGGCATGGATGGACTGAGGAACTGAATTTAAAATCTTGTTTAATTTTAATTAATTTAAATTTAAACAATCACATGTAGCTAACAATGAACAGTGCCTGCTTTAGTCTTTTGACGTTTGATGGAGAAGGCAGACGTGTCCTGGTATAAACCACTGCTAATTATCCTCAATCAGAATATTGAACAAAAAAAAGGAAATTCATGAGTCTGACCTATTTCCTATTCTGTTGCTAAAAAATGCTGGCTGTGACCCACTAAATGGATTTTGCACTGCATTGCTGGATCATGATCAGCATTTTGAAAAACACCTCTCTCAAGCCTGGGAGAAGCATGTGCAAAGCAGCACACCAAGGCGAAACCACAGGCAGGGGCTACTGAATTCGTATTTGAAAAAGGAGGTCCAGAAGGTACTCTGGAAACAGTGTGTAGGGTCTGACTTCGTATGAAGGAGAAAAGAGGTTAGTGACAATAGAGGAAATAGGACGGTACAGGCTGACTGGCTGTCTCTAGCCATCCTATGAAAAGTGGAAAGGTGCCGTGGTTTTCTGGTTAGTCTTAGGTAGAAGTGAGTCATCCCTGAGGACCGCTTAGACTGTGGTGTTGTGAAAGCAGATGGGAAACTGGTCCTCAGGGAAGTGTATCTGCCATTGCTCTGGTCCCACATGCCGCTGAAATAGCCCTTAGTGTTGGGCTTCCTCATAAGCTTTCTTTTGAAAACCACTCTTCTAGCCTTCCCCAAAATCTGTTTTAGAAATTGAGATTATTTTCAGCAGAGGTTGTAGTAGTTTTACATTTTCTCTTGTTCTAAGACATGGATTAGTTTTGTTTATGTTAGAGAAAACACTTACCTGAATTAAAACATTATCACAGTTTTTATAACATTGATGTGGAATTTTAAAAATTTTTTCATCATTCTGCCATCGAGACAAATTATATTTATTTCTCCTTGTTCCTTTCAAGTCTTGATCATTTATAAAGTTTTGTAAAGTTGTAATCACTGTATAGTAGATACGGTCTTTGCTTCACGCTTTTTTCACTTTTAGTTTCTCAGAAACACCTTCCCAGGTTTTTCATAGCATTCATTTGTCATTGTTAATAACTTCCTTTATAAAATAATATATCATGTTGCAAGTACTACAATATAATTAAGTATATATTTATTACTAGGCTATTTGTTGTTCCCAGTTTTTATTTAAAATAATCCTGTCATGCATACCTTTGCTCATTTAATTTATTTAATTTTTTAAAAAATTCTTATTTGAATGTCAGCATGATAACTGTTGACATGCATTGCTGAATCCTCCTATAGGATTGAGCTGTTTTCCTTTTCACAGAAGGAGTCCCATGGGTGCACCCTTTATCTCACATAGCTTTTCTGGCATTGGAGTTTGTATTATCTTAATTTCCCCTAGTTAAACATGTGCCTCATCTTCTAAGTTTAAATTTTTTCTTTATTGATAAATGCTTCCTTATTTTTTAGATACCTATATTTTCATTTGTGGATATAGTTTTCCCGCTTCCATATTTTTGCCCACTTACCAATTGTTAATTGCCTATATACAGTCAGGGTTCTTTTCATTTTTTTTCTGACTATGTAATAAAAAAAAAATGAGTCTGGTTTGTTTTAGAAATAAGCTATGCTTGTAAGATGCTTTTGCTTTAAAAAGTTACCTTTAACTTTTTGGTCACCTTTGTCCACCAGATTCTTAGGTTTGATGTATTACCAGTGTCAGTCCTCATGCTTGTCCTTAACTAGCTGCTGCAGTGCAAAATATGATCTTATACTAGAGGAGGAGGCAGAAGACTCAAAGTCGAGTCACTCACACGCAAGTAAAAAGCACAAGAAGAAAACCCGTCACTGCTCTGAAGAAAAAGACGACGAGGGCTACATGCCAGTCAGAAATACTAATCAGGTACTGCCAGTGTCCAGGCTTGGCTGTGGAGAAATAAGTACTTTATCCCTTTATAAAGTACCTTTCAGTGGTGGGCATGCTCTAAGTCTCAAGTGTAGAATGGTTTCACTGGGTAATGAACCTTCATTTTCAAGAGTATATATCACAAATTATAAAAGATTGCTTTTGAATTAATATATAGTTTTATACTGTGAAGCCAGTGATTTGCATACCACCTGTGGATGCTCATTTGTCCCATGAAAAGCAAGTGTGGTTGTGTTCAACAGTTCTTCTCACTTATCACTTGATTACCAAGTGTTACGTGCAGCATTTCCAGCTCTTGAGGGTTTAGGACCTGTAAACCATTTATTCCCTTTTGTATTGTATATATGAAATGAAAACAGCACTCATGATTAACTCGATCATCCCCAAAGCTTTCTTGAACAGTGCATTTTCTAAGACAATAATAGTAAAAATTCCCAAAAGAAAATTGATTATAAAGAGAAGAAAGCATTCCCAGCCTGCATTTTGGTTCTCAGTTAAATGAAAAACAAATTCCACTACAGCTCCTTGCTTTTGTTTTACCACGTGGAGGCACTTGAGCTGGGCCCTGGTGGATGCGGAGGGTGTCATAGGCACAGGTGAGAAGGAACTCAGGACGGTGGGGATGTCAGGCAGAGACACGTGGAGAGATGTATTGTGGCTGGCAAAGTAAAGGGTTTGCTGTTAGAAAAGCCAGGCTTAAATTTCCACACTGCTGGTCACTGATGTGACCTTAACAAGTTAGTTATTTCTGAGCCAGTTCCCTCCTCTGTGACATTGAGATAATACTTATTTCACAGGCATGTTGTTCAGAGTAAGTGAGAAAAAAAGTGTGTGCAATCATTTTCTACACTGGCTTTTGTTACTACTTTTACTGTGACAGTCAAATTACTATGTTTTAAATCAGTTGGAGTACTTCCTGTGATAATGCCATTAATTGGATTCCTACTTCAACTAATTTCTTTTTGATGTTTAAGGATTGCTTTAACAATTTTTTGTTTCATAGTTTTAAAAAACTCATATGATTCCAAAATAAAATCTACAAAATGGTACACACAGAAGACCGAGTTTCTATCCCTATCCCCTCCACATTTTCTCTTCCCCCAACAGTTAACCATTTTATGTGTTTTATGATTTATTCTTTATTTTTAAAAATTTCAGCAAGTAGATATATTTTTAGCCCCCAATTTTGTGGATAGCATATATTCCTACTCCTTGCTGTTGTCCAGCCAGAGGTATATAACCGCTCCTTTCCACAGCCCTTTAGCTATTTAAAGCTTGCCATCCTTCATGCCCTGGCCTGTTTTGAAGTTACACCTTGGTCAGTCCTCCAAGTCATCCACACATGAATCAGTCATAGCTAACATCTTCAGTCTCTACAGTGAGGCGGATACTCTTGGCCCCATTTCACAACAAAGAAAGTGAAAACAAAAGAGGTGAAGCAGCTTTCCCATGGCTTCACACAGCTAATACATAGTGGAGGCACAATTTAAGTTCACATTTGTACTCCTAACGACTCTACTGCTGACCTGGGATATACTTGTCAGTTTTCTTTCATAAATTCTATAGTTAATCTAATATAATTTGTCCCATAGTGTAATATTTCAATGTGATCTAACAGGAATATATCCCTCCTAATGTCTGGACTCTGTTTTAAACTTAGCTTTTTTAAAGGTGCCTATATCACATTTCTAGGAATATTTAATGTTTTTCACTAAAAACCCTTAATTATTGCCCCTACCCCATGTGTTCTTTAGCCACAGCTCGCCGTCCTGCACTTGTACATGGAATTGTCAATGAATCTAGGCCTCAGGTACACATTGGTGTGTCTGAGATAAGAGGTTTAAAGAAAATTCAAACACTGGCTGCATTTTAAGTCTGTTTCTTCCCCTTTTTATGAATCTTTTTTTTTTTAATCCTCACCAAAGGATGTGCTTTTTTTTTTTTTTTTTTTATCTTTATTGATTTCAGATTGAGGAAAGGAGAGGGGGAGAGAGAGAGAGAGAGAAACATCAATGATGAG